CCTACTTAATTTCTAAACTTTGCATCTAATTGTATACATCTCTATCATGCTTTTCTTTCATCATATTTTAAAAACTAAATTACCACAAGCATTGCAACTTTTGCCACATAGTAGAATTGTTCAAAATGTTTGACTATTTTGATTGTCCTTTTTAGTATATTTCGTACAATATTCATTGTCATGCATGATGGCTGGAACTGTACATGTTGTTCCAAATATAGCTGAATCTGGGCTTTGTATGTATATTACCCATAAATAGTTTCATTCATTTTCTAAGAGCCTCATCCCATGAGGGGGAAAGCAGTATATTACTGTGGAGTTTAGTCTGGTGATATCTTGAAATTTTGATATTTCTAATGATAAAATGAATTGGAAAATTACCATGCCAGGCTCATGAAGCAAGATTTTGGGAGATAAATGTCTGTGCTTGTTGGAGACCGTCCATAGGAACACCATTAGTCCACATCACTGAAGTGGCTCATCATAGGCAAATTACATACTATGTGCTTTCCCCTGCTTTATCCCATTTCCACTCAAATCATGAACTCAGAAGATTATTTATCCCTGTCTTTTCCCCCACCTGCTTGTCTAACACTTCTAAAACAGTTCCCTGACAAAGCATCACGGGCGACAGGGGAAAGTCTCCTTTAGTCATGTGATGGCCTCCATTGTACTTCATCTCTTTAATGTTTTAGGAGTGTTTACAAATGGGGGAGGGGGGATTGCATGGGGTAACGTTCTAAGTATGCCTAATAGGAGTGTGCAATTTCTTTGTTAGTCATTGTAAGTTGGATCAAATTTGTTACATTTGTACTTACGACATCCAACACATGAGTGTGGCCCACACCAAAAACTTAAGAATTGAAACTTATCCAATATTTTCTCATTTGAATTTTGTAAATCTCAGAAGCCTCTTAAAGTCAGTTTCATTTTCAGTGCAAGGAAGCAAAGAAAAGCCAAAAAGGCTGCTTTTCCTCTTTAAATTAATAGCCTTTCACCATTAGAAGAGAGAAGTAGCAGGGAGAAAGCAAAGTTCACTGGGAAAGAAACTGAGAAAGGACAGAATCCTGGGAAATGTAGTTTGGGGAGGCAAGGAGCCTTATGCCAGAGAATTCAAAAGGCCCTGCCCTAAACTACTTTTCCCAGAATTCTGCTCAGCATCAGAAAGCCCCAATCAGGATAGGGGAGAGATTTGTCCCTCAATAGCAGCAGCCAGCCAGAGTTCCCATCAATTGTTGAATCTGCAGAGGGGAGGACTGATACTTCTAGTAAGTAAATCTCTGTGCTGGGCTGGGAAGAAATCCCTAAATGGCAATTATTGGTTAATACGAGAGGCATTCAGTGAGATAGCTATTGTGGCATTTAAAAAAAAAAGAAAAGTTTTTGTCAAAAACGTTAAAAAAATCCTAAAATCAGTAGATGTATGAATATTTCTGATAGTTGGGGAGGGGGGTGATCCCCTGTTATCTTGTGTCATTGTATAGAAAATTCAAGGAGAGAGCTCTTGTAGATTCTTTTTTAGAAGAATGTTGTTTTAAAAAATCTGTGGATAAGTGAAATGTTCTGAAACTTCATGGGCTAACAGTGGTAAATGTGTTCTACCATTATAGCAAGTTTCACTCCAATAGCTGTAAAAATGAGATATAAGGGAGCCCCTGAAATGTCTCCACTTATGCAATTACTATAATTTAAAAGTACTGAAATTTTGTTACTCTTGATATAATAACATTTTCAATAACAACGCTTTAGTTGCACAAGATCTTTAGCAATTTCTGCCAAAGATTGCTGGTGCTTCAACAAATCCCAAGATTTCATAGCATTGAGCCATGGCAGTTACAGTGGTGTAAAACTCCACTAATTCTACAGTGCAGGTGCACCAGAAACAACTGATGTCTTGCTCCTTAATCAGGACCTCTAACCACTGCACTACCCTATTGGAATTATCCTAAACTATTTACTCCCGTTAACACACTCAGCCACCTCACTACTCATAGTAAATTCCAAATAATCTAGGAATATATTTAAAAATGTCAATCCACGCACTGCCCAACTGTTTACACTGTTTACACTTTTTACACCACAGTGATTTTCCAAGCCTATTCTCCACTTGCTGTTCTTTAACCAGTTAACAAGCTTACAAAAATCCATTGTCTTATCATGACTGTGGCATTTGTTCAGGACAGTCTTTGGTGAGGAACTTTGATCAAAAGCCCTTTAAAACTCCATAGATTTTTTAAAGTCCTTAAATAGTGTCCACTGAGTCACCCTCTACTTCTTAAACCTCCTGGAGTTTTTGCTCTTTCAGAAGAATTTGTCCTTCTATCTGCCTGAAAATATGGCTCCTAATAACACTTTCCACAGTTTTTCCCAGTGCAGATATTAAACATATTGTGAAGCTTAGCTTTACATTGATCACTATTCACTTCTCTGGCACAGGACAGTTTTGGCACATACTACTTGTGTCAAGGCAGATACCATCTGGACCCCATTATTTGTTTAATTTTCAATTTGTCAATAAAGTATATCGCTTAATCTGTTGTGATCTTATTTTACTTCATTTTCTCATATCTCCTTCCTTAATATGTAAGCTCAAACACAGGCTGATGCATCATGTCTTCTGCAATGAAGACAGATACAATTAACGTAGTAGCTTCTGTGTAATCTCTTTAGTCCCCTTTAGTATTCTTTGAACTCACCTAATGGTCTAGTTGTCTCCTAGCCAGTTTCCTGTTTATCAGAACATAAAGGATCAATGTACATAAGGATTATTACACATAAAGGATTGTGCATTGTTCTTTGTGATATTTGAAGTAGGTTCCTCTAAATCTCTCAATTTGTTCACTTGCATTTCCTTGTTCAAGTCTGTGTTCCTTTCCATTTTATTTATTAAAGCCAAACTTTCAATTTCTGGAGGAAATCTTCTTTCTCTCAAAAAGTTTCCTTGAAACTTCATGTCAACCATACCAGTGTTACATCTAGAACTCAGTGCTATTTCTTCCAACCTATGTTATACATTCTCACTGAGGGACCATCCATACAGTACCTTTATCCCAGGAGTTCCCGGTTCAAAATGACGGGTGGCCAAATGACATCCCCTGAAAACACGGGAGGAATCGCTACAAAACACTAGAAACACGAGATTTTCAGTAGTGGGAATATTCTTGTTCTGGGCAGCAACAATTCAAATCCCTTTATGTCTGTCTAGAAGAGCTCCAAGTTATATAATTTGACCAAAAATCATTGTAAAAAACTTGAATCTAATTATACATAGGTCAGTACTGGAATAGGAATTCGTTGTGGAGGCAATGATTAGAGGCACCCAATTATCCCTCCCTTGCCCAAAAAAAGGTGAGGAAAAAGAGAAGGCTTCCCTTTTGTCTCTGATTTGAACAAGAAGCAGATAATGGGTACAAACTCCTATCATCTGTCTCTTGTCATTGCCTTCACAATGGGTTCCTAGTCCAGCACTGACTTATGTATAAATAAATTCAGTTGATGAGAATGATTTTTTTGGCCAAATTATATATTTTTAGAATTTTAAAACATTGACAGAAACTATGGAACTAGCGTTCCCTTTTCTCCAGTTCATGCTAATCTATGGTGGGGATCTGTGCATCCGGCTACACGGCTTGGCCAATACACTGTTTGGCAGGTAAACAATCCTCCTTTCCTTCGCCTTCTGTCTGATTATATTGAACATTGACTTTAGGTTATGCTTACCCAATAGGAAAAACATAATCCAGCATTAAATAAACTCTATTTGAAATCCAATCCACTTTATAACCCTTGTGGCCTGATATGTCAAAATGCTGTCTGCCAAAATTCAAGGCAGCTTACAGACCTTGTACTTCTCAAATGAAAATAAAAACTATTTTCTTCCCTTGTTATCAAGCAACAGCCCAAACTGAAACATAGAGCCAAAAAGTATTAAACATTAACAGTAAAATCAACACAGTATGACAATCAAACAACCAGAGATTTTGTAGGCAATGCAACATGGTTAGAAGTTGTCAAATCATGGAAAATATATTTTCTGAACTACAACTCCCAGAATCCTCCAACTCTCATGGATAACAGCCAGATTAACTAGGGGACTCTGGGATACTTGTCTAACAAGTAAAATTTCCATATTCTGGGGAGACTTGCTTCTGTGTGGCATGAGCTAAGGATGTTTGGCAGCTGCACCAACTTCAAAAGAAAGAAGTCTTTATCATGCAAGCTCCATCTGCCCAAGGCAACTCCTACTTATAGTCCAATCGGACTTACTCTGAAGTAAAGCAGGTGTAGGCTTGCTTTGCATTACTTCTTTGCCACTGGGGTCTTCATATGGCTGTGAGAGAGGATGAGAAACTTGAAGTCCTCTTGCAATACAGACACATAACAGTGGCTGGACCTGCAGATTTAATTTTTAATAGAACCTCAAGAGTCTAACAATAGCACCTAAAAAATGAAATAGTTTGAACTTACCAAAGCCAAACCACTCTTTGATCTGGTATTGGTTACACTCCAAACTAAAGTAGCACAATCAATTGTTGAGTAGTGCATCCATACATATGGCAGATAAATAAATTGGCTTCAATGCATACTGGATTTAAATACAATTTAAAAAATCCATCTAAACATTGGGAAGGACTTCTTGACAGTAAGAGCTGTTTTACAAAGAAATAGGCTGCCTCAGAGTGGGGTGGAGTCTCTTTCTCAGGAGGTTTTTGGACCAAAACTAGATGACATCTGTCGGGAGTGCTTTGATTATGTATTCCTGCATGGCAGAATGGGTTTGGACTGGATGGCCTTTAGCATCTCTTCCAACTCTAGGATTCTAGGCTATGTGCAATTGGACATATTCCTGGTATAAACAAAGTACAGCCCTCCAGATGCTCCCAGTCTACAATTTCCAGTATTCCCCATCATTGGCGATGCTGGTTATGGCTAAAAAGAATTGCAGTATAATAAGATCTGGAGTCACACTAAATTTCCTTGCATTTCAATGCATTTCTTACCTGTGGGCAAGTGAATGGTGATGTTATTGCAGAAATCAGTATAGCAGCATTCTGTCCTGGTTATGTTCCTAGAACTGTGGCAGAAGATTTGTGCCTTCAGTTGCGGTAGAGTCACACATGCCTTTATTACCTCTTGCCGACCATTCGTTAGCATGACTGAAGTCCAACAGGCTCCCTCCGTTTCACATGTGAAGTTTGTTTTTTCACACCATTGGCACACACATGTTAGACCTGAAAAGATCATTAATAATTTGTTGAGAAAACAATGAGAAGCAAAACAAATTTGTCTGAACCTAGTCTAAGTTGCTTGAGTTATCTAGTAAGAGAACAGAAAATGGAAAGTCCTGAACAAAAAAAATAAAGTTCCAGATTAGGGTGAAGATGTTTAGAACTTTATCATCCAGTTAAATAGAGTATGTAAGTGCCTTCAAGTTGCCCATCAACCTATGGCAACCCCATGAATTACATAGGGTTTTCTCAGGCAAGAAACATTCAGGAGTGGTTTTGTCAGTTCCTTCCACCTTCCAGTTCTGCAATCCAAGCGCCCTTCACACTGCCTTTTATCCCAGGATCTGATCCCAAATTATCTGCTTTGAACTGGAATATATGAGTCCCCACTGCCAGATACGCTGGGATAAACAGATAATAAGGGATCAGATCCTGGGATATAGGGCCTGTCTAAAAGGGCCCTTATTTATCTGGCCAAATGCAGACATACAAGATGTCACTTGCAGTACATGGGAAAAACCCACTGTTTTAATTTTGTTTTTCATTTTATCTCAATATTTTCTCTGCTCTCTTTGATTTTATTATAGAAATAAATAAAACGAAAAGAAGAGAGATAGAAAATGTACATTTTCTTGTAAAAGCCTGCAGCATGCCATTTAAGTCTTAAACTTAGAAGTGATCTTCAATCCAAAGATATTTGCTTGGTTTTTCCCAGGAGGTCAGCAGATAAGTTTAATGGACTTTGAAATGACCTGTCAGAGTAACGCAGCAATGATCATGTGCTTGTTTACTGCATTTTTCTATACCATGATTTAGTGTTTGAGACAAGCATTTATTTTTTTGTTGTAGCCACTTATAAAATGACTCAAACCTATTTCCATGTTGTTTACAATTTAGCGTGTTTACCTAGTTCATATTAAACAAAAATATCAAAAAATCATTTACTGTATTAGCACATGAAAGCCCAGCTACAAAACATTGAGAGAAAATTACAGTTTTTTATATTCCTTGTTTATCTTATCTGGTATAGAATAGATTATACAATGGTTTGCAAATCTAATTTCCATTGGGTCCAAACACTTCTACAGATAATGGAACTTTCAGATTGGCTACAGAGTCTACAGAAGTCTCAAATCTCAAATAATAGTCTCTCAATAATACAGCTTTGCTGTACAAATAAAAACCAAAGAAAATCTACCAAGCCAAACATCATGCTGAATCTACCATCTGAAAAACAGGGCAAGACTTGTGACCTTCTGCTGGCTCTTCATCAAGCAGACTGCGATAAACATCTATGGTGACAGATGAGCAGCCAAGTGTCCCTCTGTAAAATAACAGTGGTAATATGTATGCACGTGTGTATGTGTGTATATTTAAAAAAACATCAGTCCCATCTAAAGATAACATTGAACTATTTGTACAATCAACCTGCCATTTTATGTCTTACAAAGCCTATAAACAAGTCTCTTAGCCCTGTCAATCCCTTGGACAAAGCCAGTCAGCAAAACTGAGATTGAAACTCTTAAATACTTACTACACTGTAGTAGTTCTTGCTGAGTCTGACCCTTTATCCTAGATTAGTTCAATATCTTATATGTCATGTGGGATGGACAGTTAGCAGAGTCCTCAGTATAGTACCTATGACCTTATGTTTGATACCCCTGTCATTTGCACCTGCACCTGGTGGTATTATCACAGGTTGTGACATCAAAATGACCATCTGTAAAACTTTTGTGCCACATTTTCGCTGCCGGAAGTCTTAACCCTGTAGTAAGATATAACCATAAAAAATGTTCCATAAGCCCAGCATATGTGTACTGAATCAATATACATACAAGTCTAAAACTCTAATTTACTTTTTGAACCTTCTAATACACATGCACTCTAGTCAGACTTGCTATTTATTACCAAATTACAATGACACTTCAAATCATGTGCTTCAAATGCATGCTATTATTTGCATTGCCGCTTTTTTGACAATTGTGATATATGGTCTGGAATGGGAGGAGGTCCATGAGGGTGACACCATCACTTACCAGACTGGTTGACACCACTCCTAATGTCATCAATACTAGATAGAGTTAGTAAACTTGTGTGTGTATACCAATTGTGAATTTCCACATTTGCTGACTTCCTACAAATATGCAACTTTGGTGCATCACCTGCTGCTATTGTGTCTTCTCTGCATCTCCTTTATTAGAACGTATCTTTTATTATACACAATTTATTGCAAATAAAGATATTTTATATGTTTTACAAAGAAGGCTAAGCTCTGTGTAGGAATAGGACTGGTAGTTGTTCAGCTTCTGCATTAGTCTGCTTGCAAGATGCATTACTATCACTCACGTTTCCCTTTTCCCAGCAGATCACTCTTAGATTATATTGCCTTCATGTCCTACATGTGAGTTTCCCATTGGCCTCTAATTCTCCACTGTGTGTGTGTTGGACTAGAAGATAACGAAGAGTACTTTTGTCTAGTCCAGCCAAGTTCCTCTTATGATATCAGGTTCTTAGCTGCTAATGGGGCTATTCTCTGTGAATTCCTCTATAAGAAAAATATTTGCCTAACTAAATACATTTTAATATTTTAGTTTATAATATCTTTAGCATTTAAAAATCCTTTGAACTACAGCTGGTTAATCATTCATCTGGTCATGAAAGGAAGCTGAAATAATGGGTAGTATTTCTGATCTGAACTTTTATGAACTACACATTTGCAGTCATAACTGCTCAGTAACAAAAGAATTCTATCCCAGTAATTAGAAATTATATATCTCCTTGAGGAGAACTTGGAAAGTTTAGCAACATTTCAAATAATCTCAAAGAAGCAGAATACTTGGGGCCAATTTTTTAAAAGCCTTTGATATGACCAAGCTTTTTCATAACTCTTCATCTGACTTTCAAGTTAGCTGGGTATATTTAGCATGGAAAAGGGATGGTTAAGAAGTGACATGACAGCTCTGTTTAAATATCTGAAAAGACGTCACACTGCAGATGAAGCAAGCTTGTTTTCTGCTCCTTCAAAGCCTGGGACATGGAGCAATGGATTCAAACTACAGAAAAAGACTTTCCACCAAAACATTAGAAAAAACTCCCTGGTGGATAGAGTTGCTCGGCTCAGGGTGCTTTGCAGTGTAGTGGAGTCTCCTTCTTGGAAGGTTTTTAAACAGAGGCTGGATGGCCATCTGTCGGAAGTGCTTTGAGTATCCCAGCATAACATGGAATTGGATGGTATGATCCTTGTGGCATCTTCCAGCTCTACAATTCTTTATCTCTGTGACATTCAAGTACATAAGTGTATATTATTGTTGTTGTTTATTCGTTCAGTCGCATCAGACTCTTTGTGAACTCATGGACCAGCCCATGTCAGAGCTTCCTGTCGTTCGTGGTCACCCCCAGTTCCTTCAAGGTCAAGCCAGTCACTTCAAGGATGCTATCCATTCATCCTGCTCTTGGTCGGTCCCTCTTCCTTTTTCCTTCCATTTTCACAAGCATCATTCTCTTCTCCAAGATTTCCTGTCTTCTCATTATGGGACCAAAGTACTTCATCTTTGCCTCTAATATCCTTCTCTCCAGTGAGCAGTGGACATTATTTCCTGGAGTATCGACTGGTTTGATCTTCTTGGGATTCAAGGCACTCTCAGAATTTTCCTCCAGCACCACAGTTCAAAAGCGTCTATCTTCCTTCGCTTAGCCTCCCTTATGGTCCAGCTCTCACATCCATAGGTTGCCACAGGGAATACCATTGCTCTAACTTCGTTGCCAGAGTGATGTCTCTAGTCGTCACTATTTAATGTGTATTACTTGTTAAAATTTCATGCAGGCAAACACTGGAACAGATAATGGGCCACCCACAGTTTCCAGCATCTTTCTGTTCAAAATTCAAGCATACATAGATTTCAACACAAAATATGAAACACTTTGTAATTGTGGGTTGGAAACCAATGGATGCCTCCTGCTGACTAAACAGAAGATTGGGAAAAGTTGTAGAAACCCATGGGATTGGGGTCTTTTATACTGAACATATTTTTCTCTGCCCCCTGCTGTTGAAGGAACTGCTCTAAAATCAGTTTGAAGGGGATTGCAGCAGAAAAGAGAGCTCATACCAACCCGTTTACACTGCATTCTTCCCTTCTGTGAAGGATGAGCAATACTTCCTACAGCCTCGGATTTCCACAATACATACAGAAACCTTAATCTTCATGCTCTTTCCCACTATACCTTTATGGCACAATGAGTCCATACTAAATGCCTCTTACATCCTATGGATTTGTTATCTAGTGAGGCACCAAAGCAGCTCGTCGGCTGCTAATTCTAAAAGTCCCTTCTTTCTAGGATTCTAGGATTCCATAGGACAGAACTATGGAAGTTAGTGGAATCACAGCACTATAATTATGAAGTGTGAAAAGGATCCTAACATGGGACTACTTAGGGTCTAACATGGAGAGGAGTCAACAGGTACAGTATTGAATCCTAGTACCAGAGGAGGGGATGTAGCTCAGCAGGAAAGATCATGCTTTGGCCACAGAAGATGGCAAATTCACTGGCATGACTATTTTTTTTAAAAAAAAGTGGCAAAAAGAAGATAAAGTGGTATATGAGAAGAAAGAGTTCTGCCTCATATCCTTAAAAACCATAGCTGGCACAACTTAAAATAGTACATAAAATTATTGTTATTATTATTATCATTATCATCATCATCATCATCATTAGTATTATTATTCGGCGTAGTGGAGCACTGGCTAGATGTACTATAACGCAGTTTCCCACAGGGCTGGTAATAACATGAATTGGCTCTCAGATGAATGTAAATATATATGTATGTGCTGTCAAGCTCTTCTGTCAAGTATGCATAGAATGCATAGAAGTACCGAATTACAAATGTTGCTGCTTGCAATGAATGAGAATTACACAAAGACCATTACACTCACATATATTTAAAGCACCATACATCCCAAGAGTGCATAATATGAAATCAAAACAACAGCTTGAGGCCAATCACA